TCCAGGGGAATCCGATGCCCTCTTCTGACCTCCGTGGCATTGCATGACACGGGTGCACTCACACACATGCAGGCAATATACTTGTACACATAAAAATAATAAAATATATTTAAAAATTTTAAAAAACTGCTTTAAGTTCAAAGATGAATCACGGGCTGAGTAATTTTATTACTTTTAAACTCTATAAACCCCCTCAGCTGAACCTGCCAGTGAGTTCTTTTGTTATATGCCCAGGTGGGCAACGAGCTAGAGATGCCAGTGGAGAACTGGTAAATTCATTAATTTAAGAGAAACAATGGTCTGCTTGGTACCATCTGGGTTTAGAGGTTTGCAAAAAGCAAAATCAAAGAACAAAATAAATCTTAAGCTAATATAAAAATGAAGAAAAACATGCACATTGAGAAAGTTTTATTGAGGAAGCCAAGGGATAAAAATTCCTTATCCCCAAAAGCCTGAACTCAATGTTTCTTTCAGTCCTTTCTTAAAAAGTAATCAGCTTCGAGTGAATATATCAGAATGACTCATCTGGAATTGGGAAAGTCCCAATTGGGAATATCTGGTTGTCCTCTCTAAATCACTCCATGACACAGATCCCATTATCCCTGAGGAACATGTCCGGTATTTGACCTCAGTGAATCCAGAGTGTTCCACGTACTGCAGTCAGGATATCTGAAAACTGCCCCACATTCTGCAGCTTTTCTCTGTGTCCTCCAGAATTGTGAATGTTATGTTTCCCTTTGTTCCAGGCTGGAGACTATGGGAAAAGGTGTGCCACACTAGCTCTCCCTGTTAACTCACTAGGGCTATACCAGCACTCTAAGAACTGCTTCCCATTTATGTGCCATGGCTGAGGAATACACAATATTAAAACATTAGTGTTGTTTTATGACATTTTCACTATATATATGCTATATTATCTAAAAATGTACTTTTTAGCATAATTCAAGTGAATACACTTTAGTGATACACTTATAACAGTATTTGAAAGTCATATTTACATATATATACACCGGCCTGCCATGTGACTCTACATGAATAGCTATAAGAAAAATACTAAGTCATTAATGAGCCTTTGATGGAGTGAAATCCAGTTTTCCATTGTGAAGGTGCTTTTGAAGTCTAAAACAATGGAAATGGGCTCTAGAGGAGACAGACTTGCCCTCTGTCCTCTGCTGTATGCATGAGCAGTTCCCTGCCCTTAACATGCTCAGTTCTATATAGTTAAGACAGAATCATAGGACTCTGTACCTCACAGTCTGAAAATCAGTGCAAGTCTATAATAAAGCCATGAACTAATATTTAACAAGTACTAAGATTTTATAAGGATTATAATATCATCTTAAAACGTAGTTTAAAGACACAGAATAGAAGAAAAGGTTTTATTTGAAGGGCATTTTTACTTATTTATACAAAAACTATGTCACCATTTTCATACATGCCCAAAACTTTTGTGCACAGCAGAAATTAAGAAGCTCATTTATGTCAATTTTTTGCCATATGCTATAATAAACTGCCTATATCAAATATCTCCTGATTATCTAGCCATTCTACTAAAATATTTATTTCTTTTCACACCTTTACCTATTGGCAGATTTCAACCGGTACTTTGGGTTTTGTTCTGTTTGGTTGCTTCCATCATGGTCAGTCACTGGGAGATGCCAACACACTCCTTTCTCAACATTTCCAGCATCAGTAATGCTTCCTTTTTTTAATAAGCTGGGAAACTGTTTCAAAGTATTAAATCCTGGCTAACAAAGACTTAGCTAGTTTCCTAAATTCATGTGACCATAATAACCTCAAAAGGGAAAAAGGCTCTGTGGTACTTAATTTTATCTTGCCTAGCTTTTAGAGGTCAAGTACAGTGTTGTCTAAATGGGGAAAATGTGTGGCCCCTGTGGATTAGAATTACACATTCACACTTTAAAAGTTATCACTGTTGTCATTCAATAGCAACCTTCAGTAGATTGACCTCAAATTTTTTCATGTAGAACTTGATGTTGTTACTTTTTTACTAAAAAAGATCATTTCTGAAAAAATAAAATGATCCCTTGTTCTCTGTGCTACTTCTCTCCTTCTGACTCCTCCTGCCTAATAGGGTGGGGTTTGTATAGGTTTTTAGGTTGCTCCCATAGGTAGAAACCTAAAAGCCCAGAAGACAAAATCCCTGTGGTCATCTAAGGTCTATGTGAGCCCCCGTGGAGGACATTCTAGATAACTTAGGGTAGAGATCATTTTGGGGAAAGATTACAATGATAACACCTGATGAGACACATCTCTCTAGGACATTAAAAGTCCACAGGGCTGCTCGGAATAATAAGCAACATTTGATAAGCCCCACTATCCTAGGAAGTCTGCAACACCCATCATCTCTCTGTGCCTCCATCTACTTCTACCTGGAGTCCTATGTTGTTCTGAACCTCCTATCTCCAGTATTACCTCCCCCACAGCATGCTGTTTCTTCAAACAATCATTACAAAGATCTTTCCAAGCCATTAATTTACTAAGGTCCACTAGGCCTGAAAGTCCAACCAGTTACAATCAACTCAAGAAATAAGATTGTGAATTCTTCCACGGCACTAGGTTCTTTACTAACTCGTCCTCCCAAGGTTTTCCCTGACATCCTGATATAACTGCATTTTTCTAAACATACCATAGCTGTGCTTGCATGAAGGTTTCTCAACCTCAGCACTGTGAGCATGAGGGGCCCTCTTATTCCTTATTACAATCATTATACTCATTTATTTATATGTATGTATGTATATGTATACACATGCCACAGTACATGTGAGGAGCTCAGAGAACAATTTATAGGTGTCAGTTCTCAACTTTGATACCATATGTGTCCTGGAGTTTGAACTAAGGTCATCAGGTTTAGTCACTGATCCATTTTCATGGCACATCCTGTCATTTGGTAAAACTTTATTTTACTACTCTTAATTATTTGTATGTATTATGTGTCTATATGTGCATATGAGTGCAGATGCCCATAGGGCACTGGATTCACCTGGAGCTGGCATTACAGGTAGCTGTGAGCTGCCTAACATGGGTGCTGGGAACTGAACTCTTAGAACAGTAAGTGTACAGTACATGTTCTATGTTCTTAATTGCTGAGTCATCCCTCCAGCATCCCATCCTGTCATTCTTTATTGTTGGGGAAAACTTTCATAACATAGGGCTATAGCAAGAATTCCGGACTCATACCCACTAGATATCAGTAGACCCACCTTACCCCAAAATGCTTCCAGGCTGGGCATGGCTGTGCACACCTTTAATCCCAGGACTCCAGAGACAGAGGCAGGCAAATCTCTGTCAGATCCAGACCAGCCTTGTCTACATATCTACATACATACATTCTTGTTTACATATAGCTCCAGGCCAGCTGGGGCTACAAAGGAGATAATAATATTTATTATTATAAAAAGTATAATATTATTATTTATAATGATAAATATTATTTATTTATTATTAAATAAATAATGCACACATACATACAATCTCCAGACTAACACATGCATAAAATCATCCCCAAATGAGAACCAATGGCCTACTCTCTTGACTTTACACATTAACACAAGTTAATAAATATCTTGCTATAAATAGCAACTACCTTTGCCTTTCATCCTGTCTTGGAATTTTTTCACGTGTAACCTTTTTGAATAATGTACCTGAACTTAGCTGTCATCTATCCTATGCAACCTTCTCTGCTCCAAGTAGGGATAACTAACTAACTGACTATTTTCTGGCTACCCCAAGTATTTAATCCAGTCACAGTCAAATAATACCAAACATTTAAATATTGTATCTTCTCTACTAAGAGAAATATTGGGGACAGGGTCTCTGGCCACTATCTGCCCAATACCTCTAACAAGGCATGTGCCCAAAAAATATTACAGAATAGTGACTGGAGAGATGGCTCAGCGCTTAAGAACATTGGTTGTTTTTGCAGAAGACCCAGGTTCAAATTCCAGCACCCACATGGCAGCTAACAACTGTCTATAACTCCAGTCCCAGAGGATCCAACAGCCTCCTCTGATCTCTGCAGGCATTGCACAACACAGGTGCACTTACCTACATGCAGGCAATACATGTATGCATATAAAATAAAAATAATAAATACAATTTTTTTAAGCTTAAAAAAATTTACAAAATAAATGAATGAAAAGTAAAAAAATAAATTATGTTCTATAATAATCACCACAGTTAAGAAAAACAGGCAGGTCCTGCTCAGGTGGATGCTCTCAAATACTATAATCTCATGCTCTATCAGAAGTCATATCCAATTTTCATGGAAAGATGAAACAGATGTGAATTAATGTTAAGAAAGCAAACTCACAGCTTGTAGGTACCGGAAAGACAAGATGGGACCACTTAATGCCCCACAAGCACTGCTATCTTCAAAGTCTCCTTCTTCAAGTAGGAACTGCTGGCCTTTAAAATGTTCCTCTTCATAGGCGACCCACCTAGAAATACAAGACATTCAACTGAGCCATTAATAAAACTAATCAAGAAAGCAAAAGAGAAAAACAAAAGCATAATAGGCAGCTATTCATCTCCGTCATGTTTTTTTCCATGCACAAAGATAGGCAAATGGTATGTACCTCATGGATTAATAATTTCTCTAGTTTGGAAGCTTTCCCCACAGAAGGTTAATCCTAAAACTGCAACAGAGCAAGCTATTAAGTGTTTGTGGTATGATTCCTACCACATCTCACCATGATAGAGAATAGTTTGCCAAGCAGAAATAATGAAAAACACACATGGCCAATGAGAAAAGTTACAAACCCCCTCCAAGATCCAAGATAATAATTTTCATTACACTGCTTAAGGCCTTCTGGAATCAAGGAATGATGACTTTATTAAACATTTACTCAGGGTTTAAGTCAAAGGAATCTCTCCCCAGGCTGCAGATCAAAAACAATACAGGAAGGTTTCCCGAAGAGAAACAGGGAAAGGCCACTGAGCCAGAATCAGCTCTGGTGTTCTGCATGTAGACTAAAAGTTCTGTAAATACTTATGGATGGGCCTTGATTCTATCATCTTATCAGTGGTGATCATGGAAACAGGAAGCATCTTGGCAGAGTACTTTCCAGGGAGGCAAGTTTCCTGAGTTCTAGTCTAAAAGCATCAGTATGAGATGCTGATAAACACTACTGGCTGTTAAAACTCCTTTGTGAAACCTGCCTCTTTATAGGATAATTCATGGTATCTAACACTCCGTGGGCACAGATGACTCATACAATATGCTGTCCTATAAAAATTAGCCTTTAGCTGTACTATGTAGTTAGGGTGAGACCTTCCAACTGAGTGGATTGGTAGGGTGACTAGCCTGTTTCCTCCAGAATTAGGGATCTCTTAATTCAGAAGCTTGAAAAAATGAAGCCCCAAAGGGCTGCCTATTATTATTTTTCCTTTCTCCACCCTTCTGTAGTAGTGAAGATACAAAAGATGGAATTGTTTTCAAATAGCACAAAGTGGTACCTCTTGGTAACTATTCATCTCTCCTTGCTTTGTGTATAAATGTAAAGACTGGGAATGGAAAGGAATTCCAAATAAGATGGAATGAGCCAATCAGCCCACTGATAGTTTTAGCATGTTTGTAATACATAGAGGACTAGGATTCTTTTACTCTTAAAGTGTAAAGTAAACATAAACTTCAGAGAAAACTTACACAGCCTAAACTTTCTTTCATAGTAATGAAGGCATTCAAAGCATGCTTTTAATTATACCTGACTGAGAAAAAGAATGAAGAATATTAAAAAGACCTTAATGCTAAGAGACAGATTCAGGTTAATGTATCAGTTTATAATTACAGAAATAATCTTCCAGTTTTTCTTAGACTAAACTTTGGTTAAGAATAAATTTACATGTGTATCTGAGACATTTATTTACTGTTTGTTGTTTGTTTGTTGAAACTGGGTCCTCTGGTGGCCCCAGCTAGCCTTCAGTTCCACTATGTAGACAGAGAGCCACCTGGGATCAAGGGCCTGCAGCACTACGCCCATCTTATTTATTTATTTTTGAGGCAGGGTTTTACTTTGTAGCCCTTACTGACCTAGATCACACTATGTAAACCAGGCTTGCCTCTAACTCACAGAGATCTACCTGCCTCTGCCTTCTGGGATTAACGGTGTGTGCCATCACAGCCAGCTTGGGATATTTTAATGTACATATTATCTGAAAGAAGCTAAGAACATTAAGGTGGGATGGGATAAGCAAGAGTCCATACTATCAACACATAAATTTAAATAGCTAACATGTCAAACGATGAGAGAAGTGAGGGAAATAACAAGACAGCCAGTCATTTCTAAGCGGAAGCATCACATTTTTCTCCTGCAACTGTCATAAAAAGTGTCAGTGTGTATATATTATAGGTCTTATTTTTAGAGCTTTTTTTTAAACAGTTGTAAAAATCATAGAGAACAACAAAATTTACCACATATTTTAGCTGATAATTTTCTGTAAAGCAAAAAGCTAGCATTAAGTCTATCTAGTTAATGGAAAAAAAACATTTAAGTCCCAGAGGGGAAAAAAAGACAAAAATACTTTATTTAGCAGAGTTTTAACAAGAAGCACATGTATTCATAAATCAGAGAAGATTACAAATAAACATAACAATAAAAATGTGTTTACTCAAACTATATCTGTCCTTTTAACACCAAGTACCTTTTTAAAATATTTTATTTTTATTTTACGTGTATGTGTATTATGCCTGCAAGTGCGTACGTGCACCCATGTCATGCAATGTCCACGGAGAACAGAAGAGGGTGTCAGGTCCTCTGGAACTGGAGTTATAGATGGTTGTTAGCCTCCATGTGGGTGTTGGGACTTGAACCCAGGTCTTCTGCAGGAGCATCCAGTGCTCCTAAATGCTGAGTCATCTCTCCAGCTCCTCAAAGTACATTCTTAATTCAAGGATAAGTAATCAAATAGCTATCAGCATGTCAGACCAAGTATCACTATGACCTACATATCTGACATATTAGAGTTTCTTCCATTTTTCATTTGGCTGGTACAGCCATCACTTAGTATGTGCCACAAAGTGCAAAGCAGAAGTCTGCACATACAGAATCATAAGTGACTGTAAGCAGGTTTAACAGCACCATCTGCTAGAGATGCATAGACAAGTTATACAATGTTATAGTAAATATAAGGAAATACCAATGCTTAAAATGTAAATGAACCACATCCAAAATAACCAGTATGTGAAGGAAGGCATGTGAACATTTCTGGATGAAGTCTAGCCCTGAATTTAAAACAGCAATAAGCTTTGAGCAGTTTCTCCTTGGTAGTTTTACCTGCCAGAACACAAATACAAAGGCATAGCCCAACCTGGTCACAGATTTTCCTAGGGTTTCTGTTCTAGTAATGGCTGACTGAGGCTGTGGCAGTGGCAATACCCTTGTGTTTACATCCAGGGTTTCTTGGAGGGTTTCTTCAAATGCTGTTGGGGACAAGTGCCCAAACTCTTGATTTTGGAATCACTGGGCTGAGTCTGTCCCTTTAAAGACAAAACTATCAAAGCCCTCAGCATATAAGTCAACCAACATCAACAGATCAACAAAAAAGAGGATAAAAACTGGGATCTCACACCTATTCACAACCTGTGGAAAAAAATTATGTTGCAGGTCTGCGACACTGTTTTTAAAAAGCTAAGTGTTGAATTTTTGTATTAAACACACACAACTACTTCTGTTTCAAAATCTTTAATACCAATAAGTAGGCATAGCCATTACTAATTCAAATATTTTACTTCCCACAATACAGAAGGGGGATATATTACTAGATAAGACTGACTGCCTTTGTTCTGTTCAGTGCATTTTTTTTGAGATAATCTTTAAAAGCAAACTACTAAATCACATACTGAAAATACAATACTCACACTCCACCAATGACACGAATTGATCCAATTCCATGAAAATCCTTATCATTTTTTAAAAACGTAGGAACAGAATATATATGTTCACTAAACTCTTTGGTCTTTCCATGGAAGTGAGGTTTTTCATAAATAATAACCTGAAAAATGTGAAAATATTATTTAACATGCTCATAGTATAGATACATTCTAATTACTTGAGTGGCATTAAAAACAACATGAAGAGGGGAAAATACCTGCTTTTAGAATTAAGTTTACAATATAAAACAGTATTTGATATTCATGAAGAGTATATGAGTTATTATTAATGTAAAGTATTTATTCACAGGATTCTCTCATATTAATACACCTGGCTGTGATTAATACACCTGATTATCCAAAGGTTAGCACCATCACATAGGGTAAACTGCCTTATAAACAATTCTCGAATTATCTTTACACATTTACTCTTGGGTTTTGAATTTACAACAGACCTACCTCATATCTACTGAATTCCCCCCATAAGATGCAAAAACATTTTGCAAAATTCCAGAGCATAAAAATAAATTACCAGCCAGGCGTGGTGGTGCATGCCGTTAATCCCAGCACTTGGGAGGCAGAGGCAGGCGGATCTCTGAGTTCCAGGCCAGCCTGGTCTACACACGACACAGGTGTACTTACACACATGCAGGCATAACACTTATACACATAATAAATAAATAAATAAATAAATAAATAACCTACCAAGTTCCAATAAAACAAAACAAAACAAAAAAAACCCTCCTTCTTAAAACACTAGCTGCTTTTAGAAGAAACAGATATTGAGTTTTTAAAATTTAAAAGCAAAACTTGTTAAAAATCAGAAGTGATGGAAAACTGTGTTTTGCTGACTAGATATTTTATTCAAATCTAGAGATGGTATGACTGTAGTAGAAAATAAATTGACAAGTAAAGAACTCTGCTAGCACAGATTCTTCTACTATTTTGCTGTTTTCCACTTCTCAAGTACCATTGCTCTAAGCATGTGAACATGATAACAGCGTTAAACTGTCCACACTCCATCACTTAGTCCTAGCTATGGCTAAAGGAATAATCTGAACACAACTGAGGAACCCAAGATCTTGATGAATAAAACCCCACGCTATATAAAACAAACAAAACAACTTCTTTATGTCTAAAAATTCATAACATTATAGACCGAAAAAAATTATGTAATACTGATCTCAGTGTTGCTACATACTAGATTTTCACAGGGACCTATATTTGAAGTAATAAAGTTTTATTTGGGTTTAATCCTCACTGCACGTGATGACAACATTCAAGCTAAGTAAAAAGCAATGGTTCTTTGATGAGTAGCTCTTGTGATATTAATGTCAATTAGTTTCTAACATAAATTGTGATTACTTATGACAACCAATCCATTCACATATACCTAGAACCTGTCAAACTGTAAATGCCTAAGAAGACTCAGCCTATCATACTTGAAGTTCTGACTCACCAAATAGAAAGCTGCAACAGGAGTAACTCAGAGAGTGCTGGATAATTCTACATCTATTTGATCAGCAGTTTGTCATGAGATGCATTTTCTTTTTTTTTTTTTTAATTTTATTTATTATTTTTATTTTATGTGTATTCATGTATTGCCTGCATGTAGGTAAGTGCACCGGTATCATGCAATGCCTGCGGAGGTCAGAAGAGGCTGTTGGATCCCCTAGGACTGGAGTTATAGACAGTTGTTAGCTGCCATGTGGGTTCTGGGATTCAAACCCAGGTCTTCTGCAAGAACAACCAATGTTCTTAACCGCTAAGCCATCTTAGCAGCCCCATGAGATGCATTTTCAAATCACCTGGGGAAATAAAATTTTTTCAACTCATACAGGATCAGAAGGGAAACTATGTCTGAGAAGGGAAACTAGGTCAAAGTATTTTTTTTTAATTCAGATGATTTCCATATGTAGTTAAAGTATAATAGATACATTCATGAGAGATTTCTTTTTTTGTTATTGTTTTGGGGTTTTTGAGACAGCCTCTCCCAGTAACCCAAGCTAGCCTGGAACTTGCTATGGAGACCAGGCTGGCCCAGGCTGGCCTCAATTTCACAGAGATCCAACTGCCTCTGCCTCAAGTGCTGGGATTAAAGGCATGCATCACCACCATGCCCAGCATGAGATGTGAGTTTTAAAACTGAGAAAATTGCAGTCATAAATCAGGAAGTTGATAAAAGGAGGGCAGGAGGCACTGGATCTGCTTTGATGAGAGAAGGGAAGGATTTCTTTTCACACACTTTGTAACTATTTCCTCCTCCCCCCACACCTTGCTTGATCCTGCCACTGCTGTCACCCAGTTTTCATTGTCTCTATCCTTCCTTTCAGGCACTCATACCAGACATTCATCCTTTAAGAGCTATCTGTAACTCATTAGCCTTGATCTCTCCTAAGCATCATTCTCAATTTCCTACTGGCTGTCTCCACTTGAACAGCTAGCTTCTACCTAAAGGCAGCCATGACCAAACAAAAAAACCCAACTGGTTATCATCCCACACAGGGGAATTGATGGGTCTGTGGGAAGTGATAGTACAGACCTCCATCTTTTTACATTGACTTCACTCCCCATTCACAACCACAGGAGAGCCTGGGAGAGGGCACAGAAATCTTTCTATGCAGTCACTTCCCACTACTGCAACCTGCACTAGTTAGGCAGTACACATTCAGGTAACTTTCTCATTCTAATTCAAAATACTTAAAAGATTAGTGTTCAGTCTTTTGAGTCCACTACAAAAGTCTGCTCAAGGCTTACCTTTAAGTTCATAGGCATTTCCACCTTCAGTCCACCCTAAAGATGACAAGATATTTTAAGACATGCAAATATATAAAGCGTGAGAAAGTAAGTTACAAAATAAGTGATATGTAGGGTACAAAATTCTAATTAAGACTATAAAATAGTCAAATTTAAGTGATGGCAAATTTAAAGTTCAAAACTCTATACTAGTCAAAACCAAGTCAAACTGATCTGCACAAATGGAGAAGGAGCTAGAAACTTTTTAAAGTTTCCAGGTTAGAACTACAAGGTAGAAAACTGAGGTTTAGTCTTTGAACACACATGAGCAATGAAAGACAATACTGGAGTATTCCAGACAGAAGAGTGGAATTGCTAATAGCTTTGGAAGTTACATTTGGCAGAGATTTCTAAATCACTTATCCAAAGTTACCCCTACAAGTACTTGGGTTTTCTAAATTAGGGCCTGTAGTAGCTCCATACCTCTCCTTCCAAGTTCCACCAACACACTTAACCATACTTAATGTCCTTATAACAACATCAAGACTACATAGTAATATCTTTCTTACAAAAACTCTGTTTTGGTAATTCTATTGTTAAAAATGCTACTCCAGGGACTGGAGAGATGGCTCAGGGGTTAAGATCATTGGCTTCTCTTGCAGAGGACTAGGGTTCAATTCCCAGTACCCACATGGTGGCTAACAACTGTCTGTAACTCCAGTTCCAAGAGATATGACACCCTCTTCTTCTGACCTTCATGGGCATCATGCAACGCAGGTGTAACTTATACCCATCCAGGCAATACGCTCAATACACATAAAATAAAAATAATAAATTTAAAAAATGCTACTCCAGATTGTAATGCTTAAGATTTCATCATTTGTCCTTGTTTCTCTTTTTCACAGTATACACTCAAATATGTTTTATCACATAGCCTATACTTAATTTAATAATTTGTTTCTCAAAAAAAAAAGTTTTCCACAAAAATACAGCAGGCACTTTTTTAATCTTTAAGAAGGGAAACATTGAGAGAACTACCAATTTACTATTAATGGTGAGCTTACTGTTCATTATTAAACTGGAGATAATTAACTACAGCTAATTTTCTAATGAGCATCAACAAAACAAACTCAGAACTTTATTAACTACTCAAGAGTTTTCACAGAACAAAACTTACAAAAAAACTGTATGTATTGTGATAAACTTACCGGAATACAAAATAAATTCAAACACTCTGTATAATATGAATTTAAAAAGCACTCATAGTTTGTTAATTCAGTGGCACACATTCATTTTTTGAGACTGAGGGCTATCAGTCTCAATGACTGATAGCAATGATCACAGCTCTTTAGTCTGTACTCATGGGTGCCCAGGAAGAGAAGGCCCTTGGTTGGAATTTGCTTACCATTTGAAGTGGATACAGGGACTTCATTTCTGCTGCAGAAATCTCAAACAGCCCCTGGTCTTCCTCCAAAATTGTAGCTTGCCCCTTAAAATTAATATCTGGGTAGGCAAGCCAACTAAATAGGGAATAAATGGTTGGTTAAAATGCAATAATAATACTTTAATTTGATTCTGCACAAGGAAAAAGGACTATCAAAAATCCCATTACAGAATTACACTAATAAAATCCACCAAAGTAATTAGATAGGCAGCATCTGATGATGAGAGTTAACATGTTATTAAAAGCTTATTTTCACATACTTTCTACCTTCTCTGTCTAATTAACTTCCAGGTGCTATGTATTACTTTTTTTCCTAGAAGTTTTGATGATCTAAAACATGCAGCACCTGCAATTCCAACAGGCTATAATTTGAAAATCAAAACTTGGTTCTAAATCCTTGCTTGCCAGCTAGTACCCTGGACTCATCTACAATGAGAAAGTAACAATCAGCTTTCAGAAACACGAGATGAAGAGAACAAGTCAGTGACTTGTGCCTGTACTGGGGCAGTGGTAACATTTAACATATGCTAAAACTAGTTCAGGCTCTAAAGTTTTAGGCCAGGGACATGTTCTCATTTTTCAATCCCAAAATGTGTTAGATGAAAAGACAATGTGATTCATCTATCAAGAAACCCGAGGATTCTGTATCTGCTCATACGAGTCATACATCAAAGCTTTAATTGGATCCAAAGAAAGAATTTGTTTCAAACCATGTAGGAGTCATCCTTAGGTATCTAGAATCATACACAGCATTAACTAAGCAAAACTTCAGCAATTTATATGTCATCTTATTGAAATATAAAGCAAAAAATTAACTTTGGTGGTCATCAATCACTATAATAAAGAAAAGCTGATACATACACTCCCGACTTCACAGTGAAGGATGTGGATTTGGGGATATTCAACTCTTCCAAAATGGGGACTGCTCGCCGTATAGAGATAGGAAAGCACCCCTGGTCAGACTGTAGGCAAATTTCTATCTCCGGAATGCTGCAATCCTGAAAAAAAAAATTAATTTGACTTTGAAATCATCTAGAGGCGCACAGGCTAGTATTCTAAACACTCTGGACACACAGCTACAATGATTTATTGTTCAGCAGAATTTCTTCTCAAAAAAAAGCAACACAAGGGAGATCCTATTACTCCTCAAGCACATTCTTAAAGCAAGCTTTTCTCAGGAGTCGTATGAACAACACATGACAATTATAAATGCTATTACTGGAAAAATTACTGTCCTATTTTTCTCTGCTTTAGTTTTTAAAATACTTGTCCCATTAAGAAAAGGTCAGTTACCAAAGGATTTGAGTGCCAAAGGTCTGTAAGCCTTCCTTCTCAGAAGTCTAACAAAGCCTAAAGGGAGGAAGGGAGTTAAATAAAAGCTGATCTCATGGGGGACATAAAAAATAAATAATGGAGAGGCACAGCCCCTCCAGTGTGTTTATCTAATTTACATCAACAAAAGCAGGAGGAACTAGAGGTGAGGGGAAAGGAAATGTTTTCCTACTTGTGAGATTCTATTTCTTTAATGCAAGTTGGTTTGATAGATATTATGAAATTTGACCCTATACTCTCCTAGCCTTAAAAAATGAGGTACTCACTCTCAGTATGTCCTGTTAGACCTCCCTTTAAAGACACTTGCCTGTCTCTGTTTACGTATTCCCACAGCTGTGGTGCAAACTCCAATAATAGCCCTAACTCACACCTACCAGTGAAGTGGTAGCTCCTCTTCATACAGCTGAGCTTCTGAGAACACCACTTTGCCTGTGACATTCCTTGGATCAATATCAATCACATCAGATTCATATTTTTGCTTGCCTTTTCTGAGACAGGGTCTCACTACATGGTCCTGGCAGGCCTAAAACTTGTTAAGTAGACCAGGCTGGCCTGGAACTCACAGAGATGGGTCTGCTTCTACCTCCTAAATTGCTGGGATTGAAGGTGTGCACTGCCATTGCTGGCTTTGTTTGCCTTTCTACAGTATCAAGATCCATACTCACCTCCCACAACTCTGTAATCACACTGGCCTTTTGGCTATCTCCACCGTTACACAACTCTTTGGAAGTTTTAAAGATGGTTTTCACAATACAACTAAAGAGATAATCTTCTGCATTGTTATTTAGGACAATCTCTTATAACAGTCAAATTATGGTTAAAAAAAAAAAAAAACTGTCCTGAACTGGAGAAAGGGCTCAGAGGTTAAGAGCATTCGTTGCTCTTGCAGAGGACCTGGGTTTGGTTCCCAGTACCCACATGGTGGCTAACAACGATTTATAATGCCAGTTCCAGAGGATCTAATAGCCTCTTCTGTCCTCTACAGGCACTGCACGACACTGGTACACTTATATGCAGCCAAAACATACATACAAAAAATAAAATTAAAAAATTTTTTAAATTCATCCTTTCTTAAGTAATCAAAATCACAATTATTTTCCCCTTTTCCAAAATTATGGACACCATTCTGTCTGAATAGAAAATGTACTTCAGTACTCAGAGTGCTTAGTTATACAACTCAGGTTTCAGTAATATAATTCTCCTCTGACACTGTGAAATTCAAGTGAATGCATTTCATTCTAATAAAATAAGTAAAGGCAACAGTTATCAGAGATGGCATTTATTAGAAACTAAACTATTTGCTTATTATAAGTTCTGTAATTTCAAAACTTCAATTTTAAATTCCTGAATCTTTCCCCAAACTGAGTTCTAACATATGAAATAATTTGGGGTGCTGACTAGAATATGCTATTGTATGCAGTCACAAGGCATTTAAATCATGCTAGGGATTCAAAACCTAACAAATTATATTAGTCAAAATGTGACATCATAATTTCCTTTCCAGAACAACTTTAGGTTAATAAAAAAGATTCTCAATATAAGCAGACCGTTAAAGTATCAGCAGATTGTATTTATTGTGTATTACTATGCTGCATAAACCACTATATTTTCCTTAGCAAGCAAATTTATGTATCTCATTTTCAGAAAATTAGTCTAAGTTGCAGTATACTATTATAATAAGGAAGAATAACTTAAAATGGCCTTCAAAATACCAAAGTATATTTCCTTCTGAAGTTTCAGTTCAAAATTAGCCAGAAACGTCTAGAATAGTTACCTGTCAATCTTCAATAGTCTTTTGTGTGCTGTTGATAACAGAGTGCTGTTTTAAATCCTGCCATATTAATGTTCCCTCAGGGAGTTGGGGTACAGTAGTGGAATACATAACAAGTGTCTCACACAAACAAGTTTCCTCTGCATTGTGTTATACAAACAATGTTTGGGTGGTGTACTTTAAAGGGGAAAAGCTAAGAGGCATTCATGTCTACAACAACGCAGAAGGAAACAGCAGAGCAGCAAAAGCATAATGACAGCTAAAAAATATGAAAATAAAAATGAGTAGCCATATGTTCTCAGCTACAACTAGCCCAATTTTTGCTCAAGTTGACTGAAAATGATTTCAACAAGCTGTCTTCTGGGTGACTCATCACAAAAATATTATCTTTTGGAAGACTTGTATAATTCTCGATGGACAAAGGCAGTCAAACACTAAAAACTGATGGGTGCTTTATGGTAACCTAGCAACGATAAACAGTTGACTTGAAAGGTTGCTCGCTTCCTCCCGCACTTTTCTAGTCATGCTCATTTTGCAAATGTATCTTGGTGAAGACTATTACATTAATTAATAGGAATGAAGACAAAGTTATAGGAAACAGTGGAAATGAATTACAGCCAACAAAAAGAGTAAGAAAATCAATTTCTATCCTATCCACCTTGCACACACAAGATGCCTACAGTCTAATCTAACACTGTATCTTTCTATTCATGGCTCATTAATGATAGCAGGACCATAGCAGGACCATAGCAGGACCTAAGTAACTTCTGGTCCTAAGAAAAAGTTCATACTTTTAAAAAGAATGCTCAATGTGCCAGGCATGGTGGCGCATGCCAGAACTTGGGAGGCAGAGGCAAGCGGATCTCTGTGAGTTTGAGGCCAGCCTGCTCTACATAGTTCCAGGCCAGCTGAGGCTACAGGGAGACCCTGTTTCAAAACGACAGAAAGAAAAAAAAAAGAATACTCAGTGTAAAACAAACATAGACATAGTAATTCACAATACTCATTTACACTGATTTCAGAAAGACTGCACTGGAATCACCATTCACTGACCTATTATGCCCACAACCAATTTGCCCAATTATTTCACTGGTAGCACTAACAAGCCTTAAATGGGATCTACAAATGCTGCAAACTAGGGTACACACTGCATCTATTCACAATCAAGTCAAGACATCATTAAAGCAGGGTATTAAGTTCTCAGAGGGGAGCAACTAAAATCCAGATGATGCAATGAGATAAAGTTGGAATAGGCCTAGGCAAGTTGGGAAGGGCAGCAACCACCACAAGAAAGAAGCTATCCACAGGCAGAATTCAGAAACAGCTGGAAAAGGAAGTCAGATGCCTGATTCCCATTTTACAAAATATTTACATATGTCCGTTCAATGCTTAATAGTTTTATTTTCCTTCCATACTAAAAGTTGCCAGTCTATTTAAGACATGTGATAGCTTATGCTGTAAGTATAAAACAAAGACTCTAGGAACAATGGAAGAAGGAAAGAAAAAAATACAAACATGATATTCTTTTTCTCATAATATATTCTAAGCAAAAGACAAATTTGAAAACATGCAATCACATTTCTAAACTCATCAGGTTGAATTTGTTTTATTTTATTCTTGTTTGATTTTAGGGGAATTGTAAGGGTTTCAGATTCTGTCCTCATTTCCCCCCACTAGACTTAGTGGGGTGACTGACAGTCAAATAGCAGGTAAAAAAATCATTTAAGTTATACAAATACCAAAGAGTCCACCTACAAACTCACTTCAAAGAATTTCTGGTTATGTTAGCTAATGAAATGAGTACTGAAATGGGCTTTGCAGACCTGGTCATAGATCCTACTTTGAATGAAGACACTGCCCTCTGCTATGCTAGTCCCCTAGTGGTGCCACCACCGGCAATGCTCACCGCTTCGCCAGACAAGCAGGGTCTGCCAACACTCATTTCCCATGCTGTCTAACTCCTGCTTATCCTTTCAAGATTCTGGTTCAATGCCACCTGCTCCTTGTGAGGTGACACTTCCCTGTGTGCCCCAGGAGTCCTTACTCTAGGGCACTTCCCAGGCATAAGAACAAGTGACTCAGCTGTTCTTCCCCAGAACTCAAGCAACCTGAAGTAAGGGCCAAAGCACATGGTATTTCTATTCCCAGACCCACTACAGTTTTCAGGCCCCACAGCAGACATTAGTACTAGTTAGATATGAATTTGTTTATAGTTTTGATTTGTGTACAATATATGTAGACATATCTTTATGATGACTTAAATGTTTCTGTGTTGCCATCTTTAGTTTCTCTGCTTTCTTTCCAACTCTCGAAAATTTAATAACATGGATCGATCATGATTTCTTTCCTTACAACTGATACTTTTTAACTATATAAACAAAATCTTGAATACATAAAAATTTTGTCCCAGTTGTACTTACATACATGCAGGCAAAATGCTCACACATAAAATAAAGTATATTTAAAAAAATTGTGTCCACGATGGTCACATAAGTCACTGCACTGTATCATGTCTTATATTCCTCCTGAAGGAAATCAAGGATATATGACGGAAGATTCAGTTCTTATCTGACGCCTGCCCTTATCGGCAATTCTCTCTTCTATACCACCATAGGAGCTCGCATAAAACATTTCATTTTGATGAGAGATCTCTCTCATCTTCAGTCATACTTTCCAACAGAAAATGAAGAAGCAGCACTTCACTTTCCCCATTCTTCTCTAAAATCCCTTCACATTCACAGACATACACACATATACAACACAGCCACACCAAGTAGCAGCAATTTAATTACAAACAGATACATCTGGAAATATTAGCTTTTTCCTTGATTACTATACAGCTAATATTAAATCTATAATATATTATGTTAAATATATGAGATACGATATGTACCATTCTATAAGCCAATTCAAAAATTAAAGCTGAAATTTGTAATTATCACTTTGTATAAATTAAAAACATCAGCATGATGGTGATTAATAAATTAGCACAAATATTAGCAACTACTTACTAGGTCGTATTATAACTTCACTTCCTGAAAAATAAAAACAAAACCAGGAGAAAATTATCAGTTCTATTACCTTTAGGACACGTTTGATAGAACCCAGTACAAAGTTTCTTTCTGGATGCTTCCTGTTCTGAGGAACCCAGTCACGATTTAACACTTTTTCCCCTTCTTCTAACACACACTTCTGACCTTGGAAATGTGGCTTCTCATATAAAATCCAGCTGAACAAACAGGGGAAAAAAATGACCAATTACATCTAATTCTCTAAGAAATGAGGCAAAATGAAACTAAGCAAGTAACAGATCATTTTACCTGCTTACAGTTTTTAAGCTGCACCACCTTCCACTATGAGCATATAAGACTGTTTTTGAAACAATAATACAGGCTAGCTTAAGTTTAAAAAAAGAATTAACATATATACAAGTTGGAAATAAAAATACTGAACATAGTATCACAAT